TGCGACACCGAGCGAAACGGATCATCTGTGTTCTGGAGTGTATTCCTTTCCCAATGTTTGGCTTTCTTTGCTTCTAATTGCCCCAATGACAGAACATACCCTGGTTCAGCCTACCTTACCAAACTAGGCCAGAAGCGGTGGTAGCAACTTGTAGGCATTTTGATAGAATAAGCGGTAGGACTACGGTACGCAAAATGGAAGTTACGAAATGGGGCGAGCTTCACTTGCACACCATCTGTTCGACTTTTTCATATGTCGGACGGCATTTAGGGCTGGGAACGCAAAAACGGTAGTGAGACAGGGACGAGATTTTTGGTTCATGTTTAGAGAGAAGAGCTCTCCATATTTCACCTACCCCGGAGTGCCTTTCCCTTGGCTTAAACAGAAACTTTTTCTGATCGTTTAAAAGGATAAAGGATAAAGTCTTCGCCGTTGATCAATCCCTTTGTGGGATGCGGCACGCATTCTACTTCCATTCAGAATCGTAGTGGCTTATTGAATGCGATGTGACATATACAGGGAATTGGCGGGGGGGGGGGGAAGCGACGTGCAAGTCAGTGTTCTTATCCTTCTAGACAAATCTAAGACAAATCGGCTACAGTTCACCTGTCCCTGGAGGGAGAACACTTGTTGGCCGGGGCGAGAGCCCATGCCGAATTTGATTCCCAGCACGGGAGTGGTAATCGTGCCATCTAGCCGTACGTCCCCTCCGCCCCCAATCGTTTATAATAAAACGAAAATGTCCGAAATGGTTTCAAAAGCCTCAATGTTTCGCAATGTACCGTACAAAAAATGCTTACTTGTACTGGACTAGAGCCATTTCAGATTTAACAAAATCTCTTTTATCGTCTTCATTCCAAATATTACTTCTAAACCAATATATTATAAAAAAACCCTCACGTTATCAAAATCCATTCGGTAATAGTATTGAGCCTGAATAGAATAAAGCACGGTTCAAAAGCATCGACACATTCAGGCAGTGTAGCTCGCCAATCATCTCTCCAGTTACCCGTACCAGCGTACTCGTAATTTGGTGTGAGCTCTTCTAAAATTAATCCTGTTAAACAATTGACAACTCGACGTTTTCTCAGCGATTTAGCAACTCCTTTGTCATTATTAATTTTTTTACTTAATTATTAATTTATTTATGATTGGATTACCAATGTTATGTATTATTTACACTTTGTCGCTAAACTTGTCTTGCTCCGTCGAGACCAATTCATTCCTTTAACAATCGCCGCAGCCAGCTGTCTTGCCTATTAAGAGCTGTCTATTAGCTCTGCTCTCAGCCCATTCGCACGATTAATTGATTATAGCCTTCATTGCCGCTAATGAAATAAAACTGCTATCGTCCAGGGCACGTCCTGCAGTTGGCATAAAATTTGCAAAATGCGACCCCTCCTCAAAATTTCCCCTTCTCGTAGAACCCAATTCCCCATACTACCCACCATCTTCTTGAATTCTCCCAACTTTCTACGACTTTTCCGAACATGCTTTCTAAGCTGACAAATATTCCCCCTCCCCCCTTTTCCAAAATATACCGTAGGGAGAGGTGGAGGAGTATAAAGCGCCACTAAAGGGGAAAAATCTAAAAAAGTCAAGGACAGAAAATATTTTCTTCGAAAGCAAATACGACCCCGCTCTTCCCACCGATTAAATACGACCCTCTTGGCTAGGGACCTCCAAGGCACGATAGGCCCTGATCTTTACTGCGGGCGAAACTGATGCCACCAAAGGAAACGACAATCTCATTCTTCGTTGGTGACAAGTAGTTTTCGTAAAGTCGTTCAAAGGAAGGACTTTGTCGGCTCAGTACCCTTGAGGGTAAACCAATCAACGACAGAATCTCGCAGAAAACATTACATTGTCTCGGGTGCAGGATTCAAGTCAACAAACAAATTGGTGATTTGCTGAGAAATGACGCGTGCGATACGTCCGGGAGGGGGGGGGGGGGGGGGAGGGTCAATCTCAAACACCCAAGTCGCAACAGTTGACTGCTGTTATGAACGATGGGTAATGAATGGCGTGCTTTTAGGACTCGGCGCATTTCCTGGCTTAAACATCAGAACTCAGCTTGGCTCCCTGACGCGGCGGAACGGATCAGCGAACACTGAGGGCGATTCTGGCGATTTTGCATAAATAGCTGAAGGCACGTTCATTTTGGGATTTCGGGTTTGAGTGTCTTGGGCCGGCGCACAGGATAATCCATCTCGATGTTTACCCTGCGAGCCCACCGATCGCACTCCATCATATAAATCAAGGTTTCTTCCTTCAGAGAACAAAGAAACCAAATCTTCGAGCTAGCTTCACCATTTGCTGCTAAGCGTTTCAAAAAGAGCGTTGAATAACAAGTGATTCAAACGATCCCGGCTGGACGATGCCAAAGAGGAAGGGTTACTTACTGTTCACCATTTTTTACGGAGATGTTTCTAATCCGACATTAAAACACAATGGGCAAAATGACTAGGAGACGCGAGTCGCTGCGCAACGTCCGCTGGTGGATAGGCATTTGGCCACACCACAACTCGCAGCCCTCCACTTAATGGCTGCTGGGCAACTAACGGCGCCGCGCGCGTCCGGGCCATCAAAGTTTGCCTATTCAAGACGCATGCTAGAAACACGTCACGCTATCTCGGAGGAAGGGCGCAGACTAGCAGAATGAGCGTGAGCTTCGGCCTCGCTGGAAAGAACCCCCCTCCCGAGACATACAGCACCGAGAAATTTCCCTGTGATGCTGCAACGGAACCCTTTATTGACACTATAGAACGAGAAACAGTACGACACGCCTGCTCTTACAAAAAAGCCAATTCTTCGCCTTCTCACGCAACGAATCTATGAATCATCTGGCGATAACATAGCGTGGCCGGGCTAATATGGAACACAAGCGTTACGCAACATTCACGAATCAAATTGATAACTGATAGCGTATTGATCGAACTGTTCCCCGCCGCCCCCCCTAAAGGCAACGTACGCAAGGAACTAGTCCTTCCAGGATTAATGAGCCCCGGACTCGCTCCATAGTCTGCAAGTGCAATTCCCATTTACCTCCGTAATAGCCTTCTAGGAGGAAGAGGACTGAAGAAGATGGATGGAAAAAAGCTTGAAATGGGAGATGCGTATCAAGACCTCCCTTATCGTTTGGAAAAACGAGCGTACAAAAAAGACATTCAAAGATTTTATCCAATCTAGACTCACCGCTCCTTACGACGACTTTTATGAGACGCAGTTTAGCTTGCTTCCCAAGATTGAACGCATGCCGCAGTGCGTCATTAGCTGAAATAGGAGGCCCATAAAAAGAAGCAAGAGAATTTCAATCAGCATTAATGGCAGTTTGAGAAAGGAATTTTGCAAGCGAAGTCGTTTTGTCGTTTTTTAAGCCAGCGAATGTCATAAATTCTAAGGCTGATACTTTCCAGCGCGGCAATATAACATCATCACATGCCACCTGAAGGTGCCAGGAGAAGAAATAACTACCTTTTATGTTTCAACGGGCTTGCAATAGCAATATTTGAAGGCTAATAAAATATGGAAGTATTGAGGCTATGCCACCAGTATGCGCAGAACGCAGCGTCAAATACGAGAATCAGTATCACCAAGAGGCAATCTGAGATCAATTCTTCTTTCGCGGGGTTTTGTTCTTCGAGAAACTTGGTACCAAATTCGTCTAGGAGGACAAATAGAGAACGTCTACACCAAGCCATTATATTGAGCACAAACGGTAACGGTTGAAGTTTCGCCATTAATCATTCCCTCTTTGGGATGCGGCACGCATTCTACTTCCATTCAGAAAGGTAGCGGCTTATTCAATGCGAAAGCGGGCTATGCAATGACTTGAGATTAGCCGATGTACAAAAGTCAGCGGTTTATCCTCCCAGACAAATCTGGTAGCAATTTACCGTCCCTAGAGGGTAGAAGGCTTGGTTGGCTTAGCCTCCCCATCTGATCCAAGATGTGACCTTCAGTCCGTGATTCGCCGTGATCAGGGAGATCAGCTGCTTGCCGGCAATATTAATCCACCTCGAACTGCAAAATAAACAAGCAGCTTCAGACCTGAGCAAGCTCTAGTATAAAAATGTTGCAGAATAAATAATTGGAAAAGCATTTGTAATTTCTGAAGTTTTTTTACGTTTTCTGAGTTTTCGAAGAATCATACTGTTAGTAAACATTCAAATAATGTTACTGTGAACAACTTAGTCATTCGAAAATAGTGACGCAACTATTAATCATCACCTCCAAACAATGCTATCGCTCTCGTTATGAACGAGCAAGCGAGACGTCATAGATGGCTGTTTGCTCAGGCATGTCTTTATACAATAGGCCAGGCTATTATGTCACAGTGAGTTTTTAACAATGGAAAACGACTGCATCGAAATGCAGTACTATCCAAAGTAGACAGTACTCTTCGTTCCCCATGAGCGATTCTCCATTATTTACAGATAAAGTAATTATAGTAGAAATATAACAAAGTAAATTATTATTATCATTATTTAGCAGATAAACGTAATTATAGAAATATAACAGTTTACGCTCAGGTTTCGGCATAGAAATCCTTCCTTATAGCTTTTTCACTAGAGCCTAATGAAGCCTCTTCCCCGGAGAAACGTCAATGCCCGAAAGGCAGCCCAGCAAAACCTATTTGGGGAGAGAGTGATGAAGCGTGAAATCGCGATGTCAGTACGACATCCTCCCGTCCCCTCCCCTCCCCCCCCTGCACAAAACTCTGATACCCCGGCACCGCTACCGTAAAATCCCCTAAAAGCTTCCCAGTAATCTTCTCCCAAGCTTCTAGCCTTCTAGCTTTTTCGCGTGCTTCCGGGAACTTCTTTCGTTTTTCTTGGAGAAACTGCCTGCAAACTGGGATCGGGGCGAGTGAGGAGCCAGGAGGCCAAATGACAACTAATACTCGGAAATAGTAGCAGTGAAGTGGTTCTGCAGCGCCGTTGACTAGGGGGGGGGGTTCATAGTGCAACACTGGAGCCCATCAAAAATTTGTGGGCAGCGATTGGAAAGGCTCTATCAATTCAACGATGTGTGACCCTATCAATAATGACCGATAGCTTGGCATCGTGCCTGCCGCTTTTAGGAAAATTGAAATAATCACCTGCAGAATTTTCCCTGGCGCACCATGTTCTGAGGGCATCACTCCTCAGATGTGGGTTGGTGGTTCTAACACTTTACTTTTCTTGTATTCTCTTTTACATTACACGCAATAACGTAAAGTTATATATTTATTTCATACTTACAATCGAATTAAACTCAAGTTAAAGTTAACATTTCAACTACAAAATTTGACCATTCATTTGACATCCTTTGAGTTTGGTATTTCTTGACTAGCTTTGACTGATATTTCTTGACTAGGTTGACTAATGTTTCTTGACTAGATTTGACTAGCATTTCTTGACTCCCTGAGCATTAGCTTGGATTCCATGACCGTTTAAGTCCCTTCTAGCCGACTCAGGTGGGTCCGCCGATTCAAGCAGTTATGCTAGACCGTGTCCGGTCTCACGTGGGGATCCTCGATCGGTGCCCAACATGCTGCCTGACATCTCCCCCGGCTGTACGACTCTGCCCGATGATATGGGCGTTCCCACCTTCGATTCGCCCGCTGCATATGCCTTTCGCAGCGAGGGGCGGGTGAAAGCAATAGCATACATGACATTGGCTCATGACCAGCCCCCCCCTCCCCTTCCGCATCCTATCTACCATCTTTCTAGATGCTCCAAAACTTTCCATCATTTTTCCGCAGAAATTCATCGTTTATCTCCGAAAATATACCGTTCTGCCAGTGAGAAGGAAGGGGGGGGGAGAGGTAACATAGTACCAGTGAAAGTGGAAAACCAGGAAAAGTTAACATTCGGAAACATCTCTCCCAGAGCCAAATACGACCTACCGCCTACGATCAGCGACTAGATACGACCCTTCTCGCTGGGGATCCCCCACGTGAGACTTGCCTTTGATGACCTGCAAGTTCGACCCACTCCCCTATTTCAGTGCTCCCAATGATGTTCATAGGACGTGTGGAACGGGGAAAAAATCAACAATCAAAAGAATTTTTCTCAGGTCAAACAGCGAACCGCCACACCAGTGACGGCAGATGGTACGCCCTTCCAACGATGCTCTTCCTGAAGTTAGTATTAATCTGCCGTGACGGCTAAGCTATGCGTATTACAGGGGTACAACGATCGCTGTGTGGAACACAATAGGTGGGGTCGCCGGGACCCGTTGGGAAAGGGGGTGCCAAGTTGGGAAATAGTTTTTTTTTGATTGTTGACTTCGTGATTTTTCCTGTTTCATGTATACTGTATCCCCCCCTCGCCGCTCGACAGCAAAATTTTTGGGGAAAGTAGGAAAATTCTCGGGAGAAAGTGGTAAGAAGTTAAGGGAATTTAAGAAAAAAAGTTAGAAGAAAAAGTTAAGAAAAAATGACAAATTTTCGCGGTTTCACCTTTGCTATGTACCCCCTACCGTCGTTCGACGGAAAACTTTTGGGTGAAAAACTGGGAAATGTGGGAAACTGGTAGGTGTTGGAGAAGGAGGGGGGGGGTCGTACCGAGACCCTCTTTTAGGTGGCGGGGGGTCGTACCGGACCCTCCTTCGAGAGGGGGGTCGTACTGACACAACCACTTCACACATCATCATGCTGTACCCTGTACGTATATTCTACCTCTTTGTTCTAACTACATACGTGCCCCTCATAATATTATACTCCAAGTTTCGAGTTCTTCTTTGGAAACGTTTGACGTAGAAGGATTAGTGAAGCGTTCGGGAAGAAATGCCGGATTATTCAAAATTTCGCCAGAATGGGTGAAAACATCGTTCGCGCAGCACGTTTCAAGGTTGGAAACATTAGGGGCAAATGGCAGTCGAGTCAAACAACTATATCGGCCACGACGCCATTGATTTGTACCAGCAAGAGAAGGCTCTGACCACAAAAAAGTCTAGCATAACTACAATGAATCAAGCAATTTAGCGATGGATTCGTCATCAATTTCCCTGCGATGCACGGCTTGGAAGGGCATTTTGCACTTTCTCTAATTCCTATCGCTTTCAAGTGACACTTCACACCTTGATGAGACCCGAAGCCTCGTCAAGCGTAAACGAAGCACCTGCTATTGCATAGCTTCAGAGGAATAGACAGGTCTCACCAGGAATATTAGACAACGATCGATGGGCACCAATAAAATGCCCCCACCAAGCTGAACAGCGCCAATTCTCCTACTATCCTCACTCAGAGATCCCTAGAGCGTTACGTTGAGCGCAGCAAACTGACGGTCTTTCAGCGGCCGATATTCTCAAGCAGCAACATGGTTGGTTTCAAGTGAACCCGGACACGTCCAAACAAAGAAATGAGGTCAAACAAACGGACACGAACCTAAACACCGCCGAAAGCTCCTATAAATAGGCGCTGTTTGAGAGGAGAGGGGGAGGCATTTTGCAAGCTCGTGTGAACTCCAGTAACGCTACAAAGTGATATACCATCCTTTAATATTTAATATTCCAATATACTTTCAATGCTCTAGCCGCTCTTTGCGCAGACGATTCACTCACCATCGAGCCTTTTCCTCCAGGCTTAATGCAAAGACGCTCGTCGTGAGCTTAGGTCTCAAGCTTATAGGGGTTTCATATACCGCTCGCTACAGGTACAAGCCGCTCAAGAAAAAAAAACAACAACAAAGAACTTGCGCTGAAATGGAGCTCGAAGCCTTTTCGTAGCTAGCGTTCACAAATCTCCTTTAAATGGCCTGGTACACTGACGGCATCGGACTGAACGTTCCCCATTCCTTTCCTCTCCCCCCCCCCCCCATTCAAAGCGCACCTCATAAAGACTCCTACTTGGAGCGGTCTGTTGCATGTTGTAAAGCTTCATTCGGGGACTACAAAAGTATCCTCATTTGCGCTGCGTCATTCTGGGAATGCCGAGAAGGGCGAAAAAAATTCCATGAGTTTACGACGAACTCGGCGATAGAAAGCTTTTCTATTTTTTTTCTTGACAAAAGATTCAAGTCTTTATTGGACTCGTCTTTTCAGACAGATTGGGAATAAATAAACGCAGGAAAATGAAAAATTGCAGGAATATAAAATTTTGTCATCTGGGGGATTCGAACCATCAGCCCAGTGTGAATCAGTTCTCTGGCTTTCCCCATCTACAACACATAATTAAGCGTTGTGAAAATGGCCTCTATGATCTGAAAGACCCTCATCATCAGCATCAATCCAACAATTTTTGAATGTAGATTATTTTGATCTCATTGACTGTTGACAACAGAACTTAGAAAGTTATGTTTAGATTTATACTTATGCATTATAACCGTATATTTAGTGACAGTTCCATATCGCAGCTCACGAACCCACAGGAATAAGCTGGAGGTCCACCCTACCCCCTCACACTCATGACACTCTGGGTGAAATAGAAAATGTGTGGCTGCCATCGACATTTTTAATCCTGTAATAAGCCCTGAGAACGTCTTTTTTGGCCATTGAACGTTTCCCTTCCCACGATTCCATGCGAGCAGTCAAAAAACCGTCTGGAAGAACTAAACGATTACTTCAATTCTCTGTCACATACAAGTGGAACGGGTCTGACTCGTTTCAGAAAAAAAAGGAGTTTAACTTTGTTGAGGGACATTTGTTCAAACGAAACAAGTTCTGGGTAGTTCCCCGGGACATGGAGCGCTGCAATCACTGATTCTTTTCTAAGTATAGCTCTCAAATCAGGAA